GTCTACCTTGCAGGCGCGGGGGTAGGGGGCGGCTCTGCCTCTCAGCAGGCCGCTGTGCCTGTTCTGCCGGTGGGTCGCATGCCCGCCTACCTTGCAGGAGTGATTGGAAGCTCTGCCCCTCCGCGGGCCACTGGGCCTTTTCTGTCGGTGGTCACAGTTCTGCCTCCCTGGCAGGTGCGGGGGGTGGGGGGTGGCTCTGCCCCTCAGCAGGCCGCTGGGCCTGTTCTGTGGGTGGTCACAGTTCCGTCTACCTTGCAGGCGCGGGGGTAGGGGGCGGCTCTGCCTCTCAGCAGGCCGCTGTGCCTGTTCTGCCGGTGGGTCGCATGCCCGCCTACCTTGCAGGAGTGATTGGAAGCTCTGCCCCTCCGCGGGCCACTGGGCCTTTTCTGTCGGTGGTCACAGTTCTGCCTACCTGGCAGGTGCGGGGGGTGGGGGGTGGCTCTGCCCCTCAGCAGGCCGCTGGGCCTGTTCTGTGGGTGGTCACAGTTCCGTCTACCTTGCAGGCGCAGGGGGAAGGGGCGGCTCTGCCTCTCAGCAGGCCGCTGCTCCTGTTCTGCCGGTGGGTCGCAGGCCCGCCTACCTTGCAGGAGTGATTGGAAGCTCTGCCCCTCCGCGGGCCACTGGGCCTTTTCTGTTGGTGGTCACAGTTCCGCCTACCTGGCAGGCGCGGGGGGGTGGGGGGCGGCTCTGCCCCTCAGCAGGCCGCTGCTCCTCTTCTGCCCCTTAATTATTTCTTAAGAGCCAAATATCCAGATACAGTTGCATTGGGATTCAACATGATTTGGGGTGGAGACAGTTGATAACAGCATACCCAGTAAAACCAATTTTTGTGTTTCTCTGGGATATAGAAAATACCATTTCAAATTTTTTATCTGAAAATATTTCTAGGTGCTACAACATCAACAAACATCAGAGTAGATTTTTTTTGTAATGGGAATTATCACTCCAGTGGTACTTTTTCATAAATGAATATAGAGTAAGTAGGGATCCATTGGTCTAACGAAAGGCTGTAACTTGAAATTTGGGGAGCTTGACATTGGTCTAATGCTTTTAATTTTTCACTCAAACAGATTTATGCCATCTGTTTCCTGTACACATTGAAATATTAAGTTTAGGTTTTTGTGGAGTGGGGAAGGCTTTTTAAAGGAAGGGAACCAAGAATTCAATATTTGTTGTTACTGTGAATCTTATAAGATACCCCTATTCATGTTATCAATAACAATTAAGAATTAGCCCCACTAACCACTGCCTCTCTCACTCAGGGATACTCCTTTTTTATTAAGAATAAGTTTGAAATGTAACTCCAGCTGCACAGGAAAGATTCATTTTAAGAAAAAAGAAGACTAGTTCCTGATATGGTATGTTCCTCCTGCTAGATTTCTGTTGATTGCTCCTGGCTTCATAGGCCTGCTCCAAAAAAAAAAATGTGTGATCCCAAGTATACTATGGCATGCATCAGTTATAAGGGAGTAAGTTTAACAAGGAGTAAGTTTTAAGAAGGAAAAAGCCTTCTTTTTCTTTCTCTTACTCTCATACCAGGTAGCTTGTGAAGATAGCACTTCAAAACTACTTACATGGACAGGGGTCTGTACCAGATTGAGCCATTTATTGTCATGTGGACCAACTGCTAAACAATGTAGCAACAACAGCTGCAGAGCATGAGCCAATGGATTTATCAGATTTTCCAGTGTTTTCCCCCACTGGACAATTGTAACCAGGTGTGATCTCTTGGATTACTTAAAGCCCTGAGGATGTTGAACTTACTATAGGAGACAAAGACCAAATGAGTAAAGGAAGAAAATTACATAGTAAACCAATGGCAGCCTAGGATCAAAATATTCTAGACATTAAAAAACCATTCCACAGTGTAATGAAGGACATATTTGATAACTAATAGATTTAAAAAGGAAAGAAATATGGATGTGTATAAAGAGAAAAATAAATAATGCATAGATTAATCTAATATATAATTAAATATATTAAATATATGTTTATACCTATAATAATCTTACTTCATGCTGCAAATGATGATTGTCTGTAGCAAATATTTAGTTACACAGTTAAATTTTTAAACAATAACTATTGACTCTATTGGAAGGAATACATACTAATTATTTTTTAATTTTAAAGAGAATTCTCTCAGCCACACACTATGGAATATACTTATAATCCCAGCCATTCAGGAGGCTAAGACAGGAGAATTGCAAATTCCATGCCAGCCTCAGTAATCCTCAGCAACCTAGCAAGAACCTTTCTCAAAAAGTAAAAAAGACTGGAGATATAGCTCAGTAGTAAAGCCCCTCTGAGTTCAATCCCCAGTACCAAAAAATAAATAAAAAAACAAAAAAAAATTAAAAAGAATCTCTCATCCCAGAAAAAAAAAATTCAAAAAGGAAGAATTTTCTTTCCAAGGATGAGAAACCTTTATAGGTATGTATATGTGAGTGGGTTAGTTAACTCAGCTCTGGGTCATTGATCTTTTGCAGGGGAAGTGATGATTTTTAATGGAAGTTCATGAATTTCTGTTATTTTGTAAAAATTACCAATTATGATATAGTTTATCTAGTAATTAACAAAATAAGTTTATATTTTCTTTATTACCTAAACCTTTCTTGTTCCTGTCACCTTATATGATAATTCAATGTGTCAATTTTGGAGGTTTTTTTTTTAAAGAGAGAGAGAGAGAAAATTTTTCAATATTTATTTTTCAGTTTTCGGTGGACACAGCATCTTTATTTTATGTGGTGCTAAGGATTGAACCCAGCGCCCCATGCATGCCAGGTGAGCACGTTACCACTTGAGCCACATCCCCAGCCCCAAGTTTGGAGGTTTTTTTAATATTCATTTTTTAGTTGTAGATTGACACAATAACTTTATTTATTTATTTTTATGTGGTGCTGAGGATTGAACCCAGGGCCCCACATGTGTTAGGCAAGCACTCTACTGCTGACAACCCCAGCCCCAAGTTTGGAGTTTTGTTGATACATGAAGCTACCAGATAGTTACCCACCCTCTGATCACAGTGGGAAGAATAAAAAAGTAAAAAATAGAATGTAATTGTCTTCTCATGTTGATGCAGGCATCAAAAAGATCAGGAAAAAAAAGGGATTCTGTTTAGTAGATATGATTTGGAGCTATACAAAAATTAAAATAATATTTCCCTTCTCATAATAAAAGTTACACTATTTTCTGCAAGTTGCAAGAAATAAATTTCTCTGGTAACCCTATATAAATCTCATTTCAAAGAGCTAAAGTTCTTTTGTACATATTTATTCCTCAAATAAATGTCTAAAGTGTTGGATTTGCTTTGTATATGGAGTATAGAGGGTAGGGGGGAGTAGTGGTTACTTCATTTGGTTCTGTAGAGCATGGAGCATAAGAAGAGAGCAATGGAGGGCATGGGAGAAAGCCTCATCCATCTGCCTCCTCTCTTTTTCTTCATAGATGCAAATATAACACCTGCCTATGAGCTCTAAATATTAGAGATGAAGGTTGAAAGACTATATAAAATTATCTGTGAAATATCTACTTGATAGCCTAGGATTCATATATAAGGTATTAAATACTGCTACTGGAACTACCCAATTCATCTGTTAGAACCAAATTTAAAGATCAGTCAGGATTCATCTGGGCCTCAGTTTCCTTATTGGTAAAATGAACATAATTTAGTCAATGTATGAATAAAATAGGATGACCCATACAAAATAGTGCCTAGCACATAATGCTCACCTCATAGTAGCTATTATTGTTGTCTTTGTCATTGCTGTTGTTATGTGGTTCCTGGGCATTTTGTTAGATATGATTTTAAAAAAAGGTAAGGTCATGGAAAAGAAAAGAAAAATTAGATAATACTTTGGGAAGTAACCAAATGAGGATAAATTTCACATTCTATCTGAAAAGTTTACTTGAAATTAACATTTTCAAAGAGGAAAGATGACATATCATCTACCCTGGTTTATTTCTAAAGTCAGGACATATTCTTGTACCATCCTCTCAATTGACATCTCTTCTGAGCCCCAGGAAAAAAAACACTCGTAACTATTTAGGACTCCAGACTAGGCTCCTGGCTGAGGCAGGAGGGTTGAAAGTTCAAAGCCAGCCTCAGCAACTTAACAAGGCTCTAAATAACTCAGCGAGACCCTATCTCTCATAAAGTATAAAGAAGTGGGATGCCGGGGATGTAGTTCAGTGGCTAAATGCCCCTGGGTTCGATCCCTAGTACAAAAAAAAAAAAAAAAAAGTAGGCTCCTATGGAGGTAGAGGCCAGGCTCAAAATCCCAAGAGCTAGAGAAGCAATTTTATTCATTAAGGGGACTTCCAGGGTGAGGGGTGGGGTGGGCAGGGTCATATCAATAGTATAATATGATTATGGTAGAGGAAACAGCATGAGCTGAATGTTGACAGTTAAATTGGTGTTCATCAATTGGATGAAAGGCTGTGGAGGGGGGAATGATTGGAGGGGTATTCAGGGACCCACAGTTGTGTGAACAAAAGCAGAGCATCATGAAAGAAAGTCAGACTTTAATTTTTTTTTAAATATATATTGTGGCACAAAGCCCTTGGTTCAATTCCCAGCACCACCAATCTACATGTTTTGTGTTTCTTGACCTGGGATGCAAGGGAGGGATGACAAAGAAAAATCAACCCCAGGAAAAGGATAAGATATTCTAAGGTCATTCCAACCATGATCAGAAATGTGGGTTTTGCTTTCATAGTCATTCAGAAATTATGGCTGAATACTCAGGAGAGGGAAACTAGAAGACTATGACAAAGGACCAGGTGAGTAATGATAAAGGCTGAAACTGAGAAGTATTAGTGAGGATTGAATAGAAGGTACCAATAGAAGAGAAGGTAAGAATCTATACTTGGAAGTAGTGAATATAAAATAATAATAAACACACATGATCTTCCCATAAAGGATTTTATTCATATGATATGTATTACAAAATCATTTAAAATGTGAGGCTATAGTTGATTACACATTTAGCTATATGCTTTACTGAAAATAACATGATTACATGAAATTGGGGCTTTCCCAAAAAATAGTATGAGAGGATTCTTCTGTCTGTAGCCCTGAAACTTGACAGAGATGTTAAAACTCCCAAACTTTAATTCTACCTCACAGGTAAGCATTGATCTAGGAAGGTCTGAGGTAACCTTGTATAATATGGGTGCAGAATAAAATCTTGAACTTGTAAAATTAGAATTTATATTCTCATCTAAGTAAAGTTGAGGTATTCCTCTAACTTAGGAGTTCTAATAGTACTGAGTAGGAGAGCTGTGAACCAGTGATTAGTTTAAAATAGTCCACAGAATCCCATGGATTCTGGAGCAAACAGTAAACATAGATATAGTTTAAAATTACCCACCAGGATCTGTATTCTGAAAGCCACATTGCACAGCCCTACCTGTCAGATCCCTTGCCTCACCAAACTTGTCATTTGCTGGGTCTCTTTTCCCCTTTCCAGGGGGAGGAGGTAATCAAATATTCATTCTGCTATAACCTTTTTTTATGCCAGTTTAGAGTTTATTATGAGTCAAAGAATCCACCCAGATATTTTGGGAAGCAACCCAGAACCAAAACATCAATAATAAAAATCAAGTCAACATTCTATATATCAAAGCACCACATTTAAAAGGTCAGAGATGTAAAAAGTGACCTTTACATTTTATAACAATACACAGTGTTTATAGTTTTCAAAAAAATTATCAGAAAAAAATAAGCCTTTAAACAATGGTTAAAATGCATAGAAAGTTTTTAAAAACTACTTATTCAGAATTTAGTGAACACTCAAATATGTGTCAATTGCAATTGTTTTATTATTCATTTTATTTTCTATAACTGTAAAAATAAGCCAAAATGCAGAAGTGTGATTTAATCTATATTCCTAGCCTTGCTTGATATGTAGCTACCTCTTAAGTGTAAAGCTATGCTCACGTGAAATGTAAAAGGAATAGAACTTGTAATTTTTTAAAAGTAGAAAGTATGTGTCTAGTGCCTGAATAATCAAGTACTAATCCATTATATTATTATATTGGAATAGTATACTCAATTTACTGCTTATCTCTGTTACAATGTTGCCTGGTAAATAATGCAACAATGTAAACCTGTTCCTGGTTCAAGAATAAAGAACTTGATAAAAATGGACATAAAATCTCATTAAGAAATGCCAGCATTTTTCAATGAGAAATATGAACCCCAAATCATTAATCACAATTTAGGATTAATTATAATTTGAGATAAATCCCCAATTACTTCTGGGTTATGGATCTGTCTCACTAATGACAGTCTTGAACCAATATACCAGAAAAACAATGGACAATTCCTGAAAGTCACTGAAGGATAAAATTTAGTTACACTTTGTTTCCTGTTTTAGAAGAATGAGTAAAGATTAGATAAGGGGGAGGGACTTCTATTGCTAAAGCCATTTAAAGATAATTCTGATGGGCCTCAGGACAATTAGCCATATTGATTGCATGCATTCCACTCTCATTTTTAAGACACAAAGGTGTCCATTTCTCTAAGAGAACTGCTTTTTCGGCAAGACACACTCTCTCTCTTGCCTTGGAGCCAAGTAATTGGAACCCTAAACACACTGCGGAGCTTCTGTTGGAATCGGTTTCCAACAAAACAATACAAAAAGGGATTAACGCAGCTGTTGGTGAATCCAAGGAGGATGGCAAAAGGAAGTGCCAGGTCAATGACTGCTATAACTTCACAGCTATTAATGACACCCATCCAGGCCAGAGCATCCAGGAAGGTCAGAACATGGAAGGGAAGCCAGCAAATGATGAATGCCAGGACAACAGCAGCTGCCATCTTCAGGACTTGGTCACGGGTTATTCTGTTCTTCCCATAGCTGTTGGTCTTCAGTAAGTGTTTCCTGATTCCAAAGTAACATGTTGCTATAAATATTAAAGGGATAATAAAACCAAGGATATTTTTCATTAAGGCGATCCCAGCTGACCACTGGGCATAATTCTCAGGTGGGAAAGCCATAACACAAGCATTCACCCCTAGGTACTCAATGGTTCTGACATCTCGGAAATAAAATGTTGGCAATGAGGACAGACAGGCCATACACCAAACCAGGGGAACTATGTAAGATGCCTGCCAGGGATTTCTTCTTTGAGACAGAAAGGGGTAGATAACTGATTGGTACCTATCAACACTCATACAGGTAATAAAAAAAATGCTTGCAAACATATTCAGAGTCAGAAAAGAACCAAAAACCTTGCACATCACAGGTCCAAAAAGCCAGTCATATCTGTAAGAATAATAGCTTGCCCAGAGAGGAAGAGTAGCCAAAAGAAGTAAGTCAGCCACAGCCAGGTTGAAGATGTAAATGCTAGAAACCTTTTTAGGACCCTTTTGACAACAGAACAGTGTAACCACAACAGTATTAACAAAAAATCCAATCACAAAAATAATGTAATACAGAATGGGAATTGCATCTAAATGCTTATCTGATGGTTTATGTGAGCAGTTAAAGGTGGACTCATTGTTGCCAGATACGTTGGCAAGTTCCAGACTGCTGGTAAGGTTTTTGCTGATGGTGGCAAGACTGAAGTTGTCCTTCATATTGAAATGTCAGCAACTTCTAATTCATACGCTTTCTGTGGGGGAGAAAAAGGAAGCTGTTAGAACACATACAAAGCTTAAGGTATATTTGAGTTCATTAGCATTTTGGGTTTGATTTTTTAAAAAAAGCAAAAACAAGTAAGTGATTCTAGAAAACACTATGAAATAGGATCATGCCTGTGAAATAAGAATGTATTTTACCTCTTGAGGAAGAAAAAGATTTTCTCAGTAGTAGCAAGTAAAACATTTCAGCTTCAGGAACTAAAAATTCTGAAAAAAACTACCTTTTGCACCTCTTTTCTATCATGTTTTTAGAGTTTTAAAGAAAAAGTATTTCAAAAGTTTAGTTCAGATAGAAAATGTATGTACCAAACAGGAAGAAACCCAAAATAAGAAAAATTAATACTTTAAAACCCTTGATCATTTATCCCAGTCTGTATACTTTCTAGAAATCACACTGCTATTTCATAGAGAAATGCTTTATTCAAGTAATTACATACAAAGCATTATAGCTGTGGAAAGTAAAAGTAGCCATAAGCTATGGAAAAAAATAAGTAAGTGTACAAATGACAGAAACAATATGCAAAAGGAACATTAGAATAGGGGGACTGTAGTGAGCTTTTACTAATTAAAAATAATCTCTTTAATTCTACTTTTCCATTATTTTCACAATTATAATTATGAAGAAGTTATGACATATATGCATATTTCTAAAAGCCTTCTGATTTTAATAGAGAAAATTAGATATAGATATAGATATTAAAGTTTTGTCTGTTTAATAGAAAAAAAATCAATTTAATTAGGAAGAGAAAAAGAAAACAAAAGAGACAAACTTGTTTCAGGGTCAAACAGAAATAGTTTTGATTGCTTAATGAAATAAGAAATGAAAATCAATGATTAATCATGATATAGTCTTATCATTTTTCTTTTGCTATCTTTTCAGTTGAATATAACTAAATAGTCACTGTTCTCAAATGTTATAATCAGTGTTCAGGTTTTTGAGACATTATTGTTTTGGGTTTTTTACTAGCAACATTATTTTGAAACAAACAAGAATTAGCTAAAGATAAACACTAAGGAAAAGACTATTACTTTACATAGTTTTAAAGTAAATACAAATAAACTACTCAGTTAAAAATATAATCACCAAAGTACCTCCTAATAAATAATAAACTCTCATTTTTTATCTAAAGCTCATTTCTTTATATGACTTTACAAATTAACATGAAAGAATGAAAAAATAAATCCCACTGATGACTTACTGGTTGCTTGAGTTTAAAGCAGTTATCATAAATCAGCTTTTCTGGTTCCTAAATGCACTCCTGTAAGAGAAACAGCAGTTAAATAATTTAGGAGTTTTGCAAAATACAGTGTTAAAACACAGGGAAAGGGAAAGTTCATCCATAAAAATATTTTCATTTAATGTATGTTCTACTTTCCAAGTAAAGTATATATAAATTGTTCAAACTTACCTTAAAAATTCAGGCTGAAGAATGCTTTGAATTCTGAGCTTATTCGGTCTCTTAGACTCTGGGATGTAATAGCACCAGATCTCTGGTTTCCTTCTTATATGTTCGGTCTGTCCACTGGGGAGCCTTCAACCTACATAATTCTAGGGCTGACTTATGAACACTTGCCAGCTTTCCAGAGGGTTTTTTTTTTTTTGGCTGCAAAACATTAATCTGAAATTTTCACTGTCTCCAATCATAACAGCTCATTCAAATAAATCTCAAACAAAAAAAATGAAGTTTCCACAAATGTGTTAGAGAATTTTGAAGTCAGTGGCTTGCTTTTAAAGAATATAATTACTTGCAGAATTTTCTCTTTCTTTTTCTCTGATTATGACATTCTCAAGCGAGTTAAGGAGTAGAGACCAGAGAATTTATGCTAGTAGCAGAGTCTTTGTTCACAAATATCCTTCACAAACTTAAGTACTTTTAAAAATTTATACATTTATTAAAGAACGGTAGCAACATCACTTGAAGTCTAACAACTTCTAAAAATTTCTCCCTTGCTTTAAACATTTTCTGGCTGGCTCATTGCTGGAGGATTGGAGATAAGACGGATATAATTTTTATGTGATGGAAAAGAGGTATTAACTTTTAGTACCTCCTTTCATTGGACTCTGTCATATTTGTGGCTCAAATACCAAGGACAGAAGGTAAAGAATGTATAGGCAGCTATTCCAGCCTGGATCACTATTGTTCTTGTTGCTGTTTTTAGTCCTTGTGGTGGTGGGGTGATCAACTTTATATAACCAGTCTTGTAGAAGCAAGAATGATAAAATGAAGAAAGACAAGAAGAGGTGATGCTAATGATAATACTAGATGATAATAAATGCTATGTGACAAACACTGCATTTTATGTTCAATAGTTTAATATAGAGGCATTATAGCACACTGGTAAGTACATGGCCTCCAGGATCCAACTACCTGGCTTCACAGGCTCAACTCTACCACTTCCTAACTCTGTTACCATGACCAAGTTACTTTCCTTCGTCATGTCTCAGTTTTTCTCATCTGAGAAATGGGGATAATATTAATTACCTACATCAGAGAGTTACAAAGATTAAATGAGTTAAAGTGTTTATAGTGTTTAGAATTATACCTAGCACATGATAGACACTAAAATAAGCTTTCTACTACCATAGCTTTACAAATCAAGAAACTAAGATGCACAGAGTTTAAATGAATTTTCTCAGGTCACATAGCTATTAAATGAGGATATTTGAATTTCAAATGAAGCTAACTAATGTCAGAGTTCCTGCTTTTAACTTCTGTACTACAGAAGGAAGCACTAGCTGGTCCTTTAATCTTACCTTTGGTCTTGTCAGAAGAAAACATGCAGCATTTTCAGAAAATCACTACTGACCATTCTTAAACTATCACAACAGCACCAAAGAAGGGAAAAGGAGGTTGCATTTTTCTTAATGTTTTTAGGAAAATGGCAACCCCACAAAGGAGAAATGTGTAAGCAGATAGCTTTCTATAGTTAGTACAGATAACCAGAGAACCCAAGACAGTTAAACAGACAAAAGGATTCCAATTATTACTACAGATCATTTTTTCAGATGAGCAATAAGAGTGCACTTATTCAGGTTGCAGGCTGCAGAAAGAGAGGAGGGCATCTTTTCCATTAGTAGGTAAGCACCTAAGCAAGTTGTTCAGCGAAAGAACAAGGAAGGAGAAAAGACTATAGGTGACAGAGGACAAAATTACAAATGACAGAGACAAAGCACATGGCTATTGACATTTGTTTCTCCATTGATATTAAAGTCAATCCTACAGTAAACAAGCAGTAAGAAAAGGTTATCATTGTCTGAAAAATACAGTAAGATTCAAAGGCTTGCACAACACCATTATAGCATTTTTTTCAGTACACTGAATTTGCACAAGGACAGAATGCATCTAATATACATGTGCACCATTCTATTAGATCTCAAAATATTTGTTTCTTATGCTCTGGACAAATTCAGGTTGAAACTGTGTCCAAATGATGAAAAACTGATGTTTGGGAAACAAAAGAGCGGGCACATATGTTTATTGGCAGGAGAGTTCAAATGGGAACTGGTTTCACTCTTTGTTTAAGCCTGGTTTCTCCCTCCATTTCAAATGTTTGTTTTTGCGACATACAAGGGAATTTTCCAGGCCAGAGTCTCCTGAGTGGTCACAATGGGTCAGATTCCCACCCTGCTCTATTTCTAGCCCCCTTTCATGTCCCTTGCAAAGAAACAGTCAGGAGGTGAGCTATAAACTTTGAGAACAAACTGCAGGCTTGCCTCCAGGAGACCTAGCCTTGAACACTCCCCAGGAGCAGGGGACCTTGTCTAGAGTTTTTGTCCTTCATTACAGTAACTTCTGACGTAAATAAAGTTTAAAGAGGCACACATTTCCCAGAAGATTAAAAAGACATTTACTTTGTTTCTTCATAATTTTTGGAGTAAAAATTTTCATAAGCCGAAGAAAAATTTTTGTAACTGCAGGGAACTAAGAAAAGAAGACAAAAAAGAATAGCAATAATATTCACACCACTGGAGGGGGGATAGTAGAGGATAGGAAAGGCAGCAGAATACAACAGACACTAGTATGGCAATATGTAAATCAATGGATGTGTAACTGATGTGATTCTGCAATCTGTATATGGGGTAAAAATGGGAGCTCATAACCCACTTGAATCAAATTGTGAAATTTGATATATCAAGAACTATGTAATGTTTTGAACAGCCAACAATAAAAAATTTAAAATAAATAAATAAATAAATAAAATTAAAATGAGGAATACTGGGAAGAGCACTTCTAGGCAGAAAATTTAGGGTTTCTTTATGTTTATTTATTTTATTTTTTTGGTGCTGGGATTGAACTCAGGGCCTCATGCATGGTAGGCAAGTGGTGCTCTACTATTGAGCTACACTCTCAGCCCTTTTTAAAAATTAGCATTTCCAGCTATTGCCCTTCTCGGACTATTCCCTGAAGACCTTAAAAGAGCATACTACAGGGATACTGCCACATCGATGTTCATAGCAGCACAATTCACAATTGCTAGACTGTGGAACCAACCCAGATGCCCTTCAATAGATGAATGGATTAAAAAAATGTGGCATTTGTACACCATGGAGTATTACACAGCACTAAAAATGACAAAATCATGGAATTTGCAGGGAAATGGATGGCACTAGAGCAGATTATGCTTAGTGAAGCTAGCCAATCCCTAAAAAACAAATACCAAATGTCTTCGTTGATATAATGAGAGCAACTAAGAACAAAGCAGGGAGGAAGAGCAGGTAGAAAAGATTAACATTAAACAGAGACATGAGGTGGGAGGGAAAGGGAGAGAAAAGGGAAATTGCACGGTAATGGAGGGAGACCCTCATTGTTATACAAAATTACATATAAGAGGTTGTGAGGGGAATGGGAAAATAAACAAGGAGAGAAATGAATTACAGTAGATGGGGTAGAGAGAGAAGATGGGAGGGGAGGGGAGGGGGGATAGTAGAGGATAGGAAAGGTAGCAGAATACAACAGTTACTAATAGGGCATTATGTAAAAATGTGGATGTGTAACCGATGTGATTCTGCAATCTGTATTTGGGGTAAAATTGGGAGTTCATAACCAACTTGAATCTAATGTATGAAATATGATATGTCAAGAGCTTTGTAATGTTTTGAACAACAAATAAAAAAAAAGAAAAAAAAAGAAATACAGCATATTATTGATTCAGCAAAGAACACCCAGTTAAGCCAACAATGTAAATACACTTGAGATTCAAATAAATGTCAGTCATGGGAAGCAATACAACACACACATACACACACACACACAATCATTCTCCTGGGGACAGTGGTAATTTTTTGTTGTTGTTGTTGGAAGACTGACTTAAAAGTTTTGGGTCATTTGAATAAATTGTGCAGCTCTTCAGAACAAGTGCAGCTGGGCTAACAGAATTAAACAATGGTAAATCACATTAAATTATTTTTTTCTAATGAATACCTATTGTTTCTTGTGCAATTCTCATCTGCTGAAAGGATACAAGATTCATAAGAAAAATTTATATCCTTCCCACACACAGATGAGGCTTCAAAGGAACAAGGAAAGATAAATGCAAAATTCTGCCCAAACATACTCTGGTTATAGGGAGTAAGGTTTAGAGATACAGATCATGGAATGATTGACTATATATAGTCTTTACTTTTTAGTCTGTTTTTTAGAGTTATTTTAATTTTCCTCACCCCAGGCATCTCTCTGAGTTCCTATCCAGGCTGATATCATTTTCACTTCTCACAAATTCAACACACACATCATTCACACATATACCCACATACATACATACTTCACACCAATCGTCTTTTGATTTACTTATCCATAGGTAAGCCTTACTTTAATTGGAAAAAAAAGGTGGTTAAGAAATTTTGCATTATCAGTAAGTCTTTGCAGATTGCATTTGTGCCTCTCTGGTTTCTAATACAATAAGAACGGGAATGTCAGGATGAAAGCAAAGGAAAAATGTAAGGTCTGCTATTTAGAACTAGAGATCAGAATGACCATTTTATAGGGAAAAAGACTAAAAACCCATTGAAAGGCCAATGTAAGTGATTATTTTCAACAAATTGTCCATCTAGGCATCACATAAAGAGTAACTGAGAGAGCTATTAAATCCAGTAGTCAGATAAATGAAACATCTGAGTCAGTACATTCCTGAGACCAGTTGCTTCCAGCTGAATCTAGTTCTAAGAAAAGAAGAGGAAGGAAGAGTTCCAATTCTTCTTTTCCCCAAAGACACCTACAATTCTGAGCATCCTGTTCAGATGAGGATTTCACAGAAGGCACCCTAGTTGTATCAAATACATCTCAAATGCTATATAACTCCACTGGTGGAAAGATTTTTTTTAATTAAAAACTTTCTATATTATTTGCTT